TTACTTATGGAATATTATAGAAGACTAAATCCTCCTAAAAAGAAATTTTTGAAATTGAAACCATTTTTAAGAATGGCATTTCAGCGTTACTGTAAATGCGAAATTTGTAGCTCTTTCTCATAGAAATCTTTTGTTTTCAAAAAACCTTATTGGAAGTCATATGAAGAACTTCCACTCACAAATGCAATAATGTATACAAATCGCTGGACATGTACATATTAAAACTATGAGAGATATTAAAAAAAAAATTACAGTTTTGTAATTTTTAGAAAAAATAAAATACCACAAAATAGCTTTTCTGACATCTCAAGCAGTGCATTTAGTACTATCCATACGAAACGGGTGAAGGAAATCTTTTTTACGCCTTTTGAGAAAATTGTGTTTAGAATGTTTCAGAACATGTAAAGTTTTGAACTCAATTTCACAGATTACTTTTGAGTTTTCCAGAATCTTTAATAAACATCATTTAAAGGATACATAGGTTTTCATAAATGAAATAATGTGAATAAATCACCGCTAATGTAAATACTAAAATATTTTCTTTAATCATGTCATCTTATAGAGTGCATTTAGAACTATCTCATTCAAGTGTTTAACCCTGTAACTGCTATGGGCTGGCCGACTGTAAGACACGTGTCTTGTGTTATGATTCTCGCTGCAGGCCTTGTTGTGAGCCGAGTTCATTCGTACATAGGTACCACGCAAGACATCCCAGTTATCAGTAAGTCCTAGCGGTAGCTGAAAGCGTATCTGATGAGCAAACTCGCCCACAGGCTCTTGGGACGGTTCCCTGAACGGTCTCATCCAAAGGCTCTCAGCCCAAGCTGACTGCGTAATAACTCGTCGAGATGCACGGAAACATTTTGCGTTTTCACTTGTCTAGAGCAGTCAAAGAGTTAAAGAAAAAAATTGTTTTGGAGAAAATTTTGTTGTTTTACTGTATATTATAGGATAGTATAGATATTACTGGATACTATGGATAGTGCGAAACTCAATAAGATTACAAAAACACTGGTTTGCTTTATTCTATTGTTTTTTTGAAAAATGTAATTTTTTTGTCTTGTCACGCACATCATTAATATTTACATTAGCAGCGATTTGTTCTAACTTTGCATAATGAGCACTTTTCCTTCAAATGATGATGTATAAAGTTTCTGGAAATCTCAGAAGTTTTCTGTGTATGCGACCTAAAGATACCTGTTATTATTTTTGGAGATTTCAATTTTCCCACAATTACATGGACCAAACATATATAAAATTATGTAAAATAATATAATTATTTTACTTCATTTTAATTGATAATTTATTTTACTTGTATACAGCAAAAATGTGTGTAAATTTGTTATTTCTATAACACCCACTCACCAGATGATATACATGTACTATCTGTGATTTATAATTGTGATTTAATTATAACATTATTACTCTACAAAAGTGATTTATCATATAACTTTATTACACTGTTGTAAGATATGTGTATAACAGGTTGTTGCTGCCATCATTAATAAATAAAAAATAAAATAGAAGATTTTTAACATAAATAATTTTGGTTCTGGGGGCACTTTTGCCCATCTTATTCTGCTACCCCCTGATAACATTGGAACAAGAAAATTGTAATGTTATTTTTATTTTTATGAGAACTGATAGCAATTGAGTAGCTTGGCTATATAGCTCAGAGCCAAATTAAAATGAATAGTGCTTCGCCCTTCAAGGTTTTGCTACATTTTATGAGACCTGAGGCCTGAAGGGTTAAGTGACTGATTTTTCTTCACCAAGTCTTCATCCTCAAGTGAGTGGACAATGAGAGACCATTTATTCATTTAAGAGAGGTTACTTGTTGCATTGCTATTTGCCCTCATCTTTACCAGTTTTGTTTGTTTTGAAGTGGCACTCACTTCTACTTCAGAAAATTACAATAATTGTGCAGAATATTTTGCATTCTATACTGTGGAATTGGGTGACATAGGACAAGTGGTGATTTTGGACACAACTTACCAAGTGAATATTAATCAGTAGCGTCGCTTCATGCTAAAATTTATTATCTTTAAGTTGTACTAGCTTATTCCTTAGACAATGGTTTATATGTATTTCAATGAATCACTACCAAGATTTTCATCACCAGCGACCTCAGTCTGCAGATACATCCCTCCCCCCTTTGCTCACACTGCTTCTCCTAGCACCTGCTTATGGAGAGGAAGGCTACCCTGTTGTAATTTCTTCTCCAGATGGCAAGCACTGTTTCAGTTGTAGGAAGACTCCCCTAAAAAATTGGAACTTTTTCGTTTTCAACAAACACAAGAGCTGTCCCACTTTCTTAAACATCCTTTACACTATCCAATAATAAAATTTAATAAAAAACGATGAAGATATTTGTTTGAAAAGTTTGAAAATGTTCCAAAGGCTTTGTATAAAGTAGCCAATTTCAAAGGTTTCAAATTCACGGGGCCGTGACATCAGTCAGATCAATATCAATTTAGGGAAAAATCAGTTGAACGGTTTAGCCAGTAGCGTTGTTCACAGAGGACAGACATTTTTCGGTCAACTGATTTCGCGGTATCAAGGACCCACAAAACACCACTTTTTTGGTTCCCCCCCTTATTTAGCAACTGGATTTATGCACTTTCTCATTACCAGGCCAGGCAATACGCATTTTTTTGCTGAAAATTTGCTGCTTTTTCAGCAGCATTACATAACTTTCACTCTACTGCGTAAGTGGTAACGAGAAAGTAAAAAAGGCACTTTATTTTTAATGAAGACATTTAATGAAGACCCCAAAATAAGGAATGACACTGGACAGTGATATTTTCTTTCTAAAAATAATAGTCTTCGTCATGTATCACAAGGCATTATTGAATTACATTCCTAGAAACTGTAGATATCAATATAGAGCTAGTAGATACAAAAAAACTGAAAATGTTTTAGAAAAAACTATAAATTAAAAATTGTCCTATGTCACCCCATTTTACAGTAACATATCTTTCGTACTGCAAAAAAGTATGTCAAAAGCACTGATAACCCATTGCAAGTATACAATAATGAAGAATTCCAAAAGTATGTTAGTCAAATTGAATGTTCTTTGTGCAAAAATTTTGAATGTGTAAACTCTTGAGACAACTATAAAATAGCAGGTTCAAATTATACATTACCATGTTTACAATTGTTTAAAGTGTTTTCAGGAATATGTATGAAATATGGTCTTCTACAAGAACCCACTCACATTAAGCAATCACTCATATGTTAATGATTCCCGTATCCCTTCAACAATGAAGTGCAAAGGACATACTAGGTCTGTTCAAGTTCAAGAAGTATCACGAATTTTGAATTTCCTCAACCTATGTAATATATTGGATTTTTGTAGAGTTAATGTTGGTACTCATGTCCCTTACTTACGCTGACAAGAATTCATTCTGAATGTTTAGTTAATTTCTGACAACTGTTTTGCTTGGACGTGTTGAATCTTATCTTCACTTTTTGCCTATTCCAAAAAATGGATCAGAGAATCTGCATTAATTTTTGTGTGAAAAACTAAATCGAGTCTGCAGACCAATTCCAAATGCTGACTGTGGCATATGGGGAAGCTACCAAGGCCAAAGGGAACATTTATCAGTGGCTTGTTCTCAGAGGACAAAGATGTGAAAGACGAACAGTGTGCCAAACACGTCAACAACAGACAAAAACATTGATAAAGTGAAAAAATAGTTTTGAGCAATCATCGAATCACTGTTGAGAAGTTGCTGAGGACCTAAACATATTGACTGGCTTGTGCCATTCCATTTCAACCAATGATTTGGGCATGAGTCGGGTCGACGAGAAATTTGTGCCAAAATCGCTCAAATTGGACCAGAAACAGCATCGCGTTAACATTCTTCAGATGGTGGACTCTGTCCGAGACAACCCAAATATGCCATAAAAGTCATAACTGGTAACAAATCATGGGTTTATGGTTATGGCATTGAAATCAAGGTTCAATCATCCCAATGGAAGCTGCCGCATGAGCAAGACAGAAAAAAGCATGCAAAGTTCGGTCAACTGTGAAGGTTTTGCTCACAGTTTTCTGTGCACCACAAGTTCTTGCCACACGGTAGTTTAGGTCAATAAGGAATATTACCTGAAAGTTATGTGCCATTTTAACTAAGAAATCATGAACCCCCCTGGATTCATGGAAGAACAAAAACTGAGTTATGCCCCATGATAACGCCCCCACCCACACATCGTTGCTTGTGCGTATATATTTGGCCAAAAACAACACAGTAATAGTGCCGCAGCCACCATAATCCCCAGACCTGGTTTCCTGCGACTTTATTCTGTTCCCAAAACTGAAGAAGCCCATGAAAGGACGATGCTATCTTACGATTGAATATAAAGACAGCATCAAAGGAAGAGCTGAACAACATAACAAAAAATGATTTTTTAAGCGTTTCGAGGATTGGAAAAAACGTTGGTATAAATGTAATATATCAGAGAGGAATTACTTTGAAGGGGACAAAATAGATATACATGAATAAATAAATACTTTTTCAAAAAAATACAAAATTTGCGATAATTCTTGAACAGAGACCGTGAATATCTGACTTCTATTCTTTAGCACACACAAATACTGAATTATTTACTATTATAAGGATGTTTTGAAACCATGTGAAATACTGTTTAAAAATAAATATTCGCAACACACTAACCAGGTTGACTCATGTGATTGGTGAAAATATTTGGTACACTGGAGACCACTGGAAGTGCGATGGAGGTAGTGACAAGTCCTGGTAAAGTACCTGGCTGTTGCTGCATTAATTCTGGGAATTTAAAAAAATCACACAAATTAAAGAAAGCAATTCATGAAATAATTGAAGCATCAACAGGACAAAGTCCCGGACCGCTAATGTAACTTCTGATCCCGTTGCAAACGCATACCCATCTAGGATGAACTGTGCACATCCTGTTATTCCCTCAACTTTGCACAACCAGAAACGTTCAAATTGAGAATTTAATTTTTCAAAAATAATACAATTAAACAAAATAAACATTGTATTTATTGTTAGAAAAACTCATAAAAAAGCATAATTTTTAGTCGGGACAATTTTGTTTCATAAGGAAAATAAAATGATTAAGGTGCATTCACACGGGACACTTTTGCAAAGAATAGATGTCCGACACTCATTGGGAATCAAATGTCTTTGTGTGTAGTCAAGGAAAATGTTCCAGTACACTTATTGAAGTTCTGCGATATTGGAATTCAGTTGTTTGTACATACAGAAGCAGACACTTCACACTCGACTGTCCGACACTCCTGTCTGGAGTTTGGAGTCACTGAACATTTTTGCGAGTATCTAGCAACGTTTTGAAGGTTTGCATCAGGAGCCAGTTGTACAAGCTCTGGAGCGAAGGTAAGCTCAAGAAATTAACGTCATTGTACAAGAATAATCCAATTTTGTCAATCTCAATAACCCAATCCTTATTAAATATAATTATAAAAATAAATATTATATGTATAAAAATATTCTAATATTGTATTTTAATATAAGCAAATTATTATAGGAGTAGATTAGGTTATTATTGTAGTATAAGGAAACCACACAATGGTTCTGTGTATGGAGGTTCTTGCATTGAATCCACTGTTGTATGCAGAGATTTTAACATTGAATTTCTGGTTGAATCTTGCAAGAAAGAGCAGTTTCTCAATTTAACTAATTCCTTCAGTTTGGATATTATAATAAATGTACTTATGTAATAAATAGAACACACTATACTGCAATGGATCTTCCACTCAACATTCATATCACATCACAAAGAATAATAAACACCAAGTTGTTCATGATTACCTAAGCATTATTTGGTCCATACTGAATGCTTTTTTCCCTTCTTTTAGAAATAATTGCAATAGCAATTGCTACTGCAGCAACTTGATAGGGATCCAAAATCACCCTATGTATGCTCGCCAAATATCCTATGCATTGCAAGATTGTGTGTGTCTACATGTGAACAGTCCAGACACTTTCTGGGCACTTTTCTTAGACATTTGTGTCCCACAAGGTGTTTGCAATTTATTTCATTCCAATTTTTTTGCTCGTGTGAACAACAGTGACATTTGTGTCCTACACTGACTGCAGTGGTAAATGTCAGCAGTAAAGGGTCCTGGGTAAACACACCTTAATAAATTTGTTTACGTGCAACCTGTTGTTCCACTAGAAACAAAACAGAGTTTGCTCAACTAAATCAAGCATCCTGCACAAACTAGCCACTTTTTGATGTAAAAATTTCATGTAATAACAGGGGATTCAATTTCCATGTTCAAATGAAAATTCCAGTTTTAGTCAAATCATCAATTGCACCATTGTTCTATTATTTTCACTAAATACCAATGTTAAATCATAAATTTCTTACAGTTAATTAATGAATACATAACCTTGTAATAATGTTACTTGCTTCTTGTAGGAGTTCGCAGTAATAGACTGGGTTCTATACTGTAGCAGGCATGTTGTTTTGAATTTAGAATGCTGAACATGCTACAAAATTACAACTTTTTAGAAAATCATTCGGAAGAAAGGTTTTGGATGAAATATATGAAAATTCTAATTCTGAAAAATTTATATTGTGGTCGCCCAGATTTTTTATGCTGTATTTTTGTCATATAAGATGTGTCCAAATGAAAAGGAGACCATGGCCTTCGTGGTCTTGTATCAACTCCCCGCAAGTATATGTGGTAAGCAATAGATGACATGGTGGCTTTTCCGTGTTACACAGGGAGTAGGGAGGACTTTCCAGGATTAGCCTGTTTAGTCGCATTGTTCCTGCAGTACTTTGCATGACGGATGCCTTTGAATCAGTACAAAGAGCAGTGATCCAATTTCTTTGTGCAGAAGGGTAGTGTGCACCTCATGTTTATAGCCGTACTGCAGTACAATGCAGTGCTCGAAGAGACCGAAGAATAGCAAGCTATCAAAAGAGATAGTGCTGCTCCAGGGCAACGCTAGGCCTCATGTGGCCAAGAAGACCATCACGCTCCGAGCAAAGTTTCACTGGGAGATTCTACAACAACCTCCTTTCAGCCCTGATATCTCCCAAAAAAACTTCCATATCTTCGGACCCTTAATTTTTTTTTTGAAAGCTCAGATATTCACCTCTCACGAGCATGTGCAAGCCACTATGGAATAGTCTGCAACCCAGGAGTTTTAACATGGAAGCCATCCACTCGCTTCCTATGCACTGGTATAAGTTTATAAATGTAAATGGTGATTATTTATAGGTGCATGTTCCAAATGAAATGTAATTCACATGTTAGCATTTAAGTTTCTTTCCATATCACTATCGTCACTTTTTCATTCGGACACAGCTTATATATTCATGCACGTCAGTAAAATATAAAAATTGACACTTTTACTCATTTTTTATTTGTTTTTTTCTCACTTTCTACAAATAGAATGAATTTATGCATTTGTGTCACCGAACTAATTCCTGTTGTCACTTAAAATACCCCAGATTCTGGGACCCAACCAGTGAACAAGCACCTGGGACTGGGAAGTGTGAAGGCCACTAAGGTACATTTTTCTGAATTACACATGATTGTAACGCAATAATTTGTTCCCTGTGACATTATCTGGAAACTTCTGTTTTGGTTGGTCTCTTATAGTTTGTAAAAACCTATCATCTATTCTCAATGTATTTTAAATAGAGAAGATATTTTCAATAATTAATGAATACATAAATGTAGAGAGGGAGAACAAAACAAAGATATACAAGGACATTGTACAACCTTGGGGTTGAAGAGTCACTAGTCCTGGTTGTGGCAGACCTCCAACGTTCACGGCTTGAATTTGAGCTGAACAAACAAAATACGAAATATAAAACTTTCTAGAATTTTTATTAGTTAGAAATGGATTAAATGTAAATTTACTTGAAAATACCAACCATGTTGCAAAGCCAAGCTGCCCATTGGTTGCTGGCTAACTTGCTGAGGTGGAGGTGGTTGTTGCTGCTGTTGCTGCTGTTGTTGCTGCTGTTGCTGCTGTTGCTGCTGTTGCTGTTGTTGCTGCTGCTGGTGTTGCTGCTGTTGAAACTGAATAAATTCTTGTTGCATAGTTTCCACAAGATTTGCAGCAAGTTGTCGAGCAGCTTGACGACTTTCAAATTTTGGATGTCTGCAAATAAGAAAAATATCTTATAAAGTGCCCAGTTTTGCTAAAACACAGCAAGATGGTGCAAAGAAAGAAATTCTCAAAATCTACTCTTGGTCTTAAGAAAACCTAATTTCGTTAAGCCTTGATTGGTTATTAAAATATTATCTCTTTAACGAACACTCTAACCTTCAGTGATAGTTATGTCTGTTTTTGAATTTAGAATGCAAATAAATATTAATAAAATACCTTCATGTTTTTTAGGAGGTACATGAGGAGGAAACACACAGAATTTCAGATGCTCATATTTATAAGTAATAATATTGATGAACATTGTGCCGTAGATGGATTGTACAGTTCCATCAACAGAAACGCTCTCACCTCAAACTCTCATCGCTTAAAGAGAAATATCTCCCTAGTTTTCTTACTGCTCAACAATATACAATGAAAGGAGTTCAGATGATTAGAGCAGCTGCTATTTGGTGCTTTGAAAACTTTGTTTATCATCATCATCATCACCATGTCTTGGATTCTCATGACCTAAAATTCTTTTAAAATGATCAGTAATATTACTCAAAAAGAAGAAGAAAATTACCTACAAAATGATTTAAAAAGAAGAGAAAAATTACCTAGCTTTTTTTAATATACTAAAAAATTTGTATGAAAATGTTTATTTATTCAATGAATTTTACAATTTAAAATAAAATGTATTTATATAAAATTAAACTTAATATAATGTCTATTTTAGAAGTAAATATAATCCTTAGCTTCTATCTTCCAACAGTCAATTTTGATAGACTGAGAAAGTTACCGAAGATCCATGTAATTTTGAGAGTTTGAAAAACAGAGTCCACTGCAGTAGTAAATTTCATCATGACCTGATGAAGCAATAAAAACTTTGTTTTACTGTGTCACTGTAAATTCTTTGATGGGTGGGAAAAAGAGTATAAGTCAATTTCTGGTCAAATTGTGCTAAGTCATTTTTCACATCAGTAGATTGTTATCTGTGATTGTTCAAAAGAGTAGAAGTCTAAGATGATGCACCACTCCGATTTTCTGGTACACATGTTATTACAAAAAGAAAAAGAAAAAGGAAAAGAGAAAGAAAAAGAAAAAGAAAAAAAGATTATATTTACAAGATATTAATCTTGGACCGTGTTTTTGATTATCTAAATAATTACATTATACAATATTGTTTGGTAATACTTCTTATTCAATAAGAGTGTTAAATATTTCATTGTTGACTTCAACATTGTCATGAGATTATTTTTGCTTTGTGATTGTCAGCAACAATTCAACAAAGCTGCCTCACATGTTTTTTGACAAACTTGGTCATAAGAAAATTATTCCAAAAGGGGGGTTCTTACATGGGGAATCTTATTGAAATGACAGTAATTAAAGTTTCTAGAAAAATATAGCAAGTAGAGACAGAAAAAAAAGACACAATAACAATACAACAAATGTATTTCGCTTTCAAATAAATGATGAAAGAGTACAAGTATGCTGCGATTGTTTCATGAAAGTGTTTGATGTATCTCAAATGTTTGTAACCAATGCAATCAGAAAGAGAACATCAGTATCTGATATAAGTCAACATGATAGGAGGGGGCATAGTGCTTTGAACAGGCAATCTGTTGATGTCATAGCCAAAGTAGTACAACATTTTGCATCTTTCCCAACTTACGAATTGCACTACACTCGGTGTACTAACCAGAAAAAGTATCTGCAGTCTCATTATAACCTAAAAAAATGTACTCACTTTATTGTGAAAAAAACATGAATCCTGTATCTAGGAAAATTACCCTTGTGAGTTTCAAATTAAAACTTAAGTTTTAAACTTCCATGAGTAAATACTTGTTACACATGTGACGTTTTAAATATCAAAATTAAAACCGCAACCATTTCTGAAGAGAGAAAACAAACTGAAGCTGAAATGAAACAGCATCACAAATTACCTGACGCTGCATCATTGATATTGATACGTTGTTAGTATGAACTTATTGTCCTAACAGCAAATGTATCCAAAATAGTGCTGTGCTCCGATGTATGCAGAGGCCACAATAGGAACTCTTGTGTGGCAGTAATATTTTTGACATTGTAAAATAACGTTTCTTTAGATGTAATTGACCGTAAATTCATAGTAAGTGGGCATAGTGACATGGCATCTGATGTTAACCATTGATTGATAGAAAAGCATAAGAAGAAAACTGAATATCCTATTTCAATTTCTTAAGACGCTCCAATTTGAATAGTGAAAAAAAAGGAGAAATCTCCTGTGAAACTAATAACTTGATTCCCCCCCCCCCTTTTTTTTCATCATTGGTACAATCCTCTCTCATCTTCAGAAGAAGAAAAATAAAAAAAAGTCAACAAACCAACCTTTTAAATGGCAAAATGTTCAGCGGTTCAGATATACCAGAAACCCAGGAGAGTTCTGTGGCATTTTATAAGGGCCAAATGTAAACAGTGAGAATATGTAATAAATATGTAAAATTGAATATAATAAGTAATATTAAAATAATCTACTTATAAAACACATTTACATTATATGAAATTAAAGTTATCAAAAATTTCCTGCACGAATTTTAAAAATAATTTGGGGTGCACAAATTGATGAACAATTTGAACCACAACTTTCCTGTCAGTAGTAAAAGCTTCAGACTAGACGTGATAGAAGCAATCGTACAAACTGGCGATATTTAAGACAAGCAAACCATTCCCAAAGCATGCAGCACTCTCATCAAAGTGTTACAGTTTGGTAATGGCCAGTTTTGCAAAAATTAGGGTTAAAGGTTAACAAATGTGGCGTCAGTGATGCTCTTCACACCTAGAAGTAAAAATGATCTCAATCGATGACGCGAACTTCCCCTCACTGAGATACCTGAAGTAGACTTGCCTGACTGTGAGAACACCCCACCCAATCTTAATGCAGTGCAACTAGATTCAACAGAACTCAGCAATATTGTTGGAAAAAAATTCTGATTTTAAAAAAATACTTCTTTTCATTAAAAAAAAATGTAATAATATTGAAGTAATTAAAAAATTTATAGTGAAAATAGCACTAAATATGTACACATATGTAACAAAAAAATTTGTATTATAATGAAACAACGACGATACATCAAGATTACAGTTTTGAGAACGATAAGTACAAAGACAAAAAATATGCAATTACAAAAAAACTACAGGATCTACATGATCTGTATTCTATAATGTGAAATCCAATAAATGGTATAAATCACACTAAATATCATTAAGCCATTATGAAAAGCGAGATGTACTTCTAGAATTGTGCAACTACTCGACACAGGTCAACTGATCGATTAGAAACATTGGAAGAGTTTGGTCATTCAACTGATGGAAATGAAGAGCCAGACGACATGGAAGAAGCAGCTAGATATATGATTTAGAATACATTTGAAGGCTCCAGAAACTAAATTCTGAAAATGAAAATTGTTTTAGTGAGAAAGAAAGATTGTGTCATTTTAATTAATTTCTTAAAATTAACAAATTTTCAGCATTGAAACTAATTTGTTTTGTGAAAGCCGAGCATGAACTATATGAATGTAAACGAGAATAAGAAGAAAGAAATACACATCAAAATAAATCAAGCACTGTAGGGAAGATTTTGGAAGAAATTTACAACAGCACTAAAGAAGCAATGTAGCAACAGTGAAAATCTTTTGAAAGAGATCTCCAAATCCAGTCAAATAAGCAAATTTCTCTCACCATAACTGTTAACAGACTCCTTTAACTTTCCCACATTGTTAATTTAATATTGACGAAGCATAGTAAAGCTGCAGGAAAAAGAACCAATTTTTCAACAAGTAAAATTAATTTTGTGTATCCCTGATACTTCAAAAGAGGATTTTTCTAGCTACACTATGTAGGAAAGTACATTCTCAAATATGTAGTTTTGTCAGAATCCAGGTTTTGTACGTTGTTTTTGCAGTTGGTCTTGGAAGAACACCTAAACTGTACACAAGGATTTGCACCAAAATTGATATTCCTCAATTGATCTGTCAGTTGTCATGATTTTCAGGGCAATTTACATAAAGCCCCAATGACAATTTCAAAATTTTCTCAAAAATTGCTATTTATTGCTCAAATACAGCAATGTATACTTTGTATATTTATAAAAATGGTGCAGGTCTGATTTTCACTGAAACAACCAAATTTATAAAGATTGCAGAAAAGGAGGGAAGGAAGGAGGAAGAGAGAGAGAGAGAGGGGGGGAGAGGGGGAGAGAGAGAGGGAGAGAGATGGAGAGAGAGAGGGAGAGAGAGAGAGGGAGAGGGAGGGATAGAGAGAGAGAGGGAGAGGGGGAGAGAGAAAAGAAAGAAAAAAAAGGTAGAAAAAAGAAAGCCCCATCTCCTAACTACTGTATTACGACATTTTCTTAATAAAATGTGTTTTTCAAAATTAGAACTAAAGTAATTATTTGTACAAAATTTTGAAAATACAAGTACATAATTTTGAGTGAAACCAAACTAATTCTCATTAAGATTTTCTCCAACTCAAGTCCAAATCTTTTCTTTCAATCAATCAATCTTTTCCTTTTTCTTTCTTTCTTTTTTTTCTTCTTTCTTTCCCCCCCCCTCAGATAGATTAAAGTTCTCTTAGTAATGTGGCATCAGAACTATTTTCATTTAAAACCTCTAGAATTTTGAAAATTGAAAATGCTCAACCTTTTGTTCAAACAAACTCTACAATTTTAATACTGAAGCTAGAAATTTCTTATATACTGAAACTATTCCTCAATACTAGAAATTCAAATCATCACATCTACATTTTTTTTTAATTAGTAATTTGGGAAACGTTTTCACTTATTAGTTACCAATGTTGTTATCATTTGGATGTTAAATGGCGGAAAAGGGAGTTTCACTATGAATGCACGAGTGTGGAAAATGTATAAATGTGAAATGCATATTTGAAATAATTTAGCATGGGAAGTATAAGAATTTATCTGTGGACTTGCACCATACACCATTTTTATGTGGCACTAAGGACTAGAGGTGTATAAACTCACAATTCACATTTTGCATGGCGAATAGCTGATGATTTTCAGAAATTAAAAAAAGTACTTCCCGTTTACATGAGCAGCTGAAATTTTCTGTACACATTTACTTTCTTTCTTATGTACACTCAGATTAAAAAATATCAAAGCAAAGTTATGACCCATTGCCTCTGACCATTTCCTTGTGAAGATAACTGAGTTATAAGAGTTATTAAAGCTGTGCTCTATTCACAAACCAGTATTTATTAGACACAAGGTGTGATTTATGAAATTTTCTATGGATATTAATTGAGAACTCTCTAGCACAAACTTGCTACAAAGAGACAAAATTGCGACAAAGTAACGATTATGTAGGTTCACCAAAGGTTCATAATGATTTTGATGGATGATATTAAATCGTAGGTCTAAAAACATTTTCCTACTACCATGAATATAGAACTAGAATATTCAATCACTTTAAATTTGGAGAAGTGGATAAAGAAAAGCTACTTCACACAAAAAGCCATTCAAATGTTTGATAATACAATTTGTTGTTTTTAATTCGAAGAACTGATCATTAAATTACAGAAGTTCATTGCTGCTTCCATGTATCCTCTAGGTTCATCTCACTAATTAACTTCTATATTAATTGGAATTTTAAAAACATATTCCTTTCTAAAAATTTTATTATTAGTGAATGCAAATATGTTCAATGAAAATTTGCCATAATTCAAACACTTTCCTAGTGTTCAGCCTATCCAAATTTTAATTATTTATTTATGATCTGATATTGATAATCTATTATTATCTGAACAAAGTTTTGACACTTGATTTGCATGGTGAAGCAATAAAATTTAATTAATGTACTATTAATAATACTGTTTTAATTATTGTTTGACTTCCTAAATTCATAGAAATAACATTAGGATAATTCACCATTAATTGTATCAACAATAGTCTATCCACTCAACTTACTCAACACACAGATGCAAAGGCTCCATTGTCTCAGTGCCTGTTCCAGGCTCAATGAACCCCGAGCCTTTCCCGCGCAAGGTCACCATGGCACCTGTTTCATTCCGAATATAATGCAGATTCGCACCTCCTTGGCCAATCAACTTGTTCCTCAAGTCAAATGAAGGTGGTGCATGATCGAGGCCAACAACAACTTTTTCCTGTACAAAACAAGCAAATTTCAGACTCACAATAACTGCTGACAAAGAAATGAGTCACTTTCAACAAACTGCAGGATAATTCGTTCAATAAATTATAGGTTATCACTGATTACACTGGAGCTGTGCACATTTAGAAGATGCAACATCTTTGAAATCAAAAATTCCCATTTGACACCCTTTCCACATCAATAATGATGGAAGCTCTTCCCAAACACATTTTAATTTTCCAATTAAAAAGAGCACCAACTTCACTTACATCCTGGTCTAAACAAAATATTATAGTAAATCTCAACTGATACACATGGCTTTATCTTCCCATGAATGGCAAAACGTGATACAGTTCTTGAATTTTTTTGAATTGTGTTTTCACAATAACATTCTCAAAAACCCATTTCTGTTCATTTTTGTTTGTTTTTATATCATTCATCAAGATCTGATTCAATATAATGCTGACAAAAAATTAGGAAGAAACTGAAATAATGGTGAAAAGGCAAAGCGAACTTGTTTGTGAAAGGAAGATTCTTAATAGTCCTGAAATACATAAGCGTGTGCAGAAGCACATGCACTCATACGCACTTACCCATACCTACATCCACACACAATACAGTGGACTCCAGATAATTTGAAGTTAGTAAAAAGTTATGAACATTTTGACTCTGAAATTAAACAATGTTCAACATTTTTGTAATTTGGAAATTTGATTTGATGTAAGGAAATTATGCATTTCCTCGCAAAATATCAAATCTTGAATTTTAAGGAATACTTAACTATTTTTTTAAAAATCTGATGAGAAGACAAAATCGCATCGATGTGCAAATGAATGAAATCTCTCAAACGTTCTGTGATAATGTAAAATGAGGCCCATGTCAAATTTAATTTTGGGGGGAAAAGTAGTGTGCTTTAGGAAGTGGGAGAGGACTAACAAGTTTGATGTAAGTAAATAACATGAAATATCATCAAAAATAATTCATGGCTCACTGCACAGCCCTCTTAACCGGAATTGGATTAACCAGACTTCCCTATTCACATTCCTCTCTTCTTTAAGTAAAAAGACATGTTCAAGTTTAGACAATGGTCTACAGAGCAAGACAATAGTGGTATAGCAAATACAAAGGGCTACATCGCTATTGTCCAATTTAAATATAGTAACTTTGACAGCTGAGATACAGTTATTCAATCAGGAGCTCCAATACCAAAATGAAAGTCGTAACAAACTTCCTAACTGGATAACAATGATTTGTCACTCGCTGATGATCTGTCACTCATGCTTTTAATATGTTCAGACTAACTCCATTTCTCTACAGTACAAATAACATTTTTTTAGAAGAATTTCTTCTCACTTGCAGTTAACTGCATTTTTATTCCCATTTTAATTTTGTTTCCTTTGGGGAGGACAAAAGAGAAAACAAAAACAAAACACAATTGTTTTAATTGGACTTTTCCCTCTCTAGAGATGAGCCAAAGTCTGATAAATAAGTCTAGTTAAGAGGGAGTCTACTGTAGGGCAATAGAAATGGACAAAAGTGAATAACAAAGGGAAATTTCCTGACATCAACAAGTGAGATTTGAAAGGGTTCAAACAAAAACATGATCGCCACATACCGTTAAACGGTCCATTTGTGTGTTCCAAGGCAGAAGAGATTTCTGAAAAAACGGACATTCATTATTTTAATTGATATTTAAAAAAAAAAAAAGTTTGTTAGTTAATTTGGAAAATTCATATCTTTTCTTAGTATGCCTTGGAGTTCATGAGTCCACTGTACCATGCATGCTCAAACTCGAGCATTCCCAGTTTTGTCCAAACCACCTCTAATTTTGAACACACATTTTTCTTATTTTCAGAATTAAATAATCATAAATTGATTCTACAATTAAGGGTAATCTCAATGCCCTTTTCTTGAGAACAATAACACACATTTGAAAGAGAAAAAAAAAAGAAATCTGGAACAAGCCAAAACCAAAAATTACAAGTAATACATGGCTGTCGTTTAATTTGGTAAAATTACAGGGAAAAGTTTTTTTTTTTTATTATGTCAACAACTTTCTGTTTCTTTGTATAGTAGTATATACAAAATACAGAGACAGTAACAGAATGCTGCAAAAAAAAAAAATAAAAACAATGTTGAGATTATTTTGGAAAGGCACTTTTGGCCTTTTGGCCACCTGACACCAAAAGGTGTTTCCTGTGTTTCTCTTTTTTTCCTTTCCTTCAAAATGTCTGTTCATCTACCTGTGAACACTTAAATCATACAGATGATTTTACCAAAAATAGTTTTTGAGGGTGCTTTACATAACATCTCTAGGAGATTTCCAACATTTTTACAAAAATGACTCAAATTTTTCCACTACATTTTAAGATTCAATGCAATAAAATTAATGTACAAATATGATAACAACGTAGTTTCCAATGTAACTTCTGAATTTTTGAAAATTGCAAAAGATCTCATTTCTTTCAATCATTTCCTTCCACATCTCTGAAACCACCAACTTTTATCTTAATGAAATTTATTCTTCAAAATTATATCATTGTACATTTTTTTAACAATGAGTAGTTTTCATGTTGTCGTAGTTTTTTGCTGCCTTTTATATCAGTTGTAAAATGGATAGAGCACGCTTAATCACACAGCAACATCAATTTTCTTAAAACCTTTGAATTTTAAAATTTACTTATAAGTAATTTTTCAGGAATATTTTACATGTCAATATTTGCATTACAGGTGTATTTTATAATTTAATGCATTTTTTACTTATACTCTTGAAATAATTTCAAAAGAAGTTTTGTGTAAATATTTCTGTTCTTCTCTACATCAATAATATCAACCTCTTAATAAGGTCATGGTAGCTGTGATACTTTTGAGGTCTTCATTGAATTCATGAAGGTGGCAGTTCAAATATACAGATCAGAAAACTTATGATAGAACAAAAATCAGCAATAGAATACTCCTAAAGGAAGGAAAAATACAGATTTCTTTTACAAGGAATGTGCAAGAAAGTCATGACTTCTTCCAATAAACAGCTTTGGAAAGAACCATTCACTTCAAAAATAAAAGCTATAATGCATTATTTAAATAAGTAAAAGTACTTTAATACAATCACTATTTTCTTTTGAGGCTGAGTAGAGTAATTTTATACACTGTGGTGCCTGGTTGCAGCCTGGAACCTGAGGATTTTAAAGCATCTGCACCAAGGAAAAAGCCGCATTAAACAAATGGACATGTAGTAAGTGGGTGGCGATAGCAGATTCAGGGGACAACAATGCCCTCCCCAAGAGAATTTTGTAATTCCAATTAAGTTATTCAAAACAATTACCACACGCTACATAATGTAGACTTGGTGTATAGGGACCATAAGAGCAAGATTAACACCTTTCAGGGTATCTGTTGTTTTGATATGTGTTCATACACAAAAGCAGATAAAGAGCTTTATAGCCCAGTCTTGGTGCTAATGTAGTTCATCATCATTCTGTACCTTTTTAACTTCAATATGAGACCACACACATTCAAATCGAGATAAAGCACTCAACTCCTTCACATTACACTCAAATTCAGAAATATCTTTTTCATATTGAGACCAAATAACTTCAAAATGAAACATAAACAGTTTTAGTTGACAAAAACTGGTTATGTTGCTGTGTTAGGTTTAGTTGTTCAAGGCAGTTTTACTTGTCGATTAATAATGTCTTTTATTCAAAAAAGGGAGGCAAACCGCAAAAGTGTGCTGTATTTAACAATAATGGAGATAAGAGAGCTCTGGCGAATATACTTGGAGTAAAAAAATATACTGCTTATGGATGTGTGAAGATCCAAAAGAAAAGCAAACCACTGGGGGTAAGAAGAGAGGTGAAAATTACAGCAGAACATTATAAATTAATTATCGATAACTTTGAGAAGAATCAAAGCTCACACTAAAGCAATTTTAATAATGAAAATTTCAAGAAAAGCTTGAAATTATTGTGTCCACAGAAAATATTTAGATTTTTATTTTCACTCTTCAAGAGAGAACCTGAGAAAACTAAGAGCAATAAAATTAAAACAAAACACTTCAAGTATGTTCTGCAGGTATGAAGTTATCAAGCAGACATGGATAGCATATTTTATACATGGATGAAACTAATTTATTTTTTGTGTGTAAGATGCTCTAAGAAAGACCCACATTGCAGTTATATAGCAGCGGAGCCTCAAGGATTCAATATCCATGTTATCAGTTGTATAAGTAAAGTTGGATTTATTTTCCACACAAAGTAAGAAGAGGAAAAATAAATAAAATGAAATAAAATGCAAACAACTTTCATTGCCAATGTCTCTGATTTGCTGAAAATATCTACCAGACTACTGTGGTCCTGGTAATAGATGATGCTTCTTGTCATGTCACTACGACACTGAAGAAAAATTTATGGAGGAAAAGTTTATTTGATACTAAGCCCTTAGTCCTATGTTCAATCCAATTGAATTTACCTGGTCATCTTTTAAATCTACTGTTAAGAAAGATCTGCCCAAGCATTCAGTACATTATCTGGTGAAGAAGGAACAAATATATCTCAAATACAATTTCAGCTCTGGGAGTTTGAGAAAATTATAAATAACAATATCAATACAATAAATGTCGATAACCGTGCATAGTTTATTGCTCATATTTAACAATTCATACCAGATGCTTTAAATTTAACTGATATGATTGTATTAATAATTTAATCTACGTTATGCTATTTATAATTTAATCCATGTTATTTTATTAATCTGCCTCATGCAGTTTAATAAAATATATTCTTAATTTGCATTCCTTTCTTGTTTTTATTTAATTTCCCTTTTCTTTATTTTAATGCTATGGATCTGAATTTGAAGGTCTTAAATGTTTATTCTGGATTTGAAGATGATTTGTCTCAATTTCAAAGCATTTGGTCTCAATTTGAATATGTTTGGTCTTAATATGAACTAGTTTGTTCCCACTCTGAAAATCCTTGTTCTTAACGTGTAGGTGCTGGGTCTCATTTTGAAATTGAAAAGCTGTAGTTTGGCCCTGATAGCATCAATCACCCTTCAAATGCAGTAGTTATTGGTGTTGCCAATAGGTGGAGGAAGGAAGAATATCAAAGACTCCCAAATGAAATAAAGACAATCCATGAAAATCATCAGCTACTTGAGAAGTATTTGGCACAGAGGGGGGCAAATCTCCAATCTTTATCTCATCTATGTGTGTTGTTTATATCAAGAACTGAATAGTTTGTTTTTTTTTATTTTCATTAAAAGAATTAAAGAGCAATTAAAAAGTGTAATATTGAATATAATAATGGGATAATACACTTAAATGTCATGAATACTGAATTTAAAATCTCTTCTTCTGAATTTGTTTTCGACTTTTATATTATAAACGCATATTAAGTTTTTATCCCTTAAAATTTTCCAATTACAGATAATTTAAACAAATCAACTTGTAGCAAATATTTTAATACCTGAAAAGCCGAAACAGAAATCTCATATGTCTTGAATACAAAAATGTTGTATTATTTTATTAATCATGACTTTATAGATAGTTTGTAACCAATGTTTGCATACCAAATTCACATTGACACCTTATATTTCGACAATAACAACAAGTATTTTTTGGGTAGGACCTGAAATTAATTTAAAATGCAGTTCAACAGATTTCATTTTATTATATTTCATATTTCAAGTTTATTTTAATTTGAAGATACAGCAAACAATTCTCTCCAATATATTGATTATTGTAATATCGATGGGTGCAGCAACGAGGAAATCACTATACTTCATCAAAAAGTCATATTTGTAATTTCATCAATTACAACTACAAAATACATTACCTGCTTCATAATATTGTTAATCACTGCAATTGTCAATTTTGAAAGTTGCTATGTTGAAAGAATGCTATGTTGTGAATGGCAGGTTTCCAACCAGAGTATGACAATTTACCTGACAATTTATTATTTTTTCTTCAGGAAAGAACAATAATCTTTGGATTATTATAATTTAGTAATAGTGAAGTCACAACAAAATGTGGTGATTAGATATAGTTGGTGAAAGATTACCTGTCATCACAAACAAATGGAAGTACTATATATACTTCCATTTGAGAGGAGACGGAGAGACAGAGAGGAAAAAAGAGAGATCGCAAGACAGAGAATGGGAGGAGGGGAGGGCGAGAGAGGAGGGAGGGGAGAGAGGAGGGGAGGGGAAAGAGAAGAGGGGAGGAAGGGTGGAAGGGGGAGGAAGAGGGAGGGAGGGGAGGAAGAAGGGGGAGGGGGAGGAATAGCGAGGGAGGGGGAGAGGGATGGAGAGGGTTGGAGAGAGGAGGCAGGAAGGGGAGGGGAGGGGGGAGAGATGCAGTAAATTGGAGTTGCACAATTAAAGCTCCTAGCACAAGAACTGCACAATGAACACATTACAATTAAAAAGTACACACACAGCACAAAAGATATTAAAAATTGTGGATAAACCAACTTAAGAACTACACAGAAGCAATCAGTAAAGAAATTTGACACAGTCCAGTTTTCTTTACTTTTATGAATGCTCATGTATTGATCTGTTTCCAACATTGAAAACTTAATACACATTATTGAGAAAAATTAAAACAAATCTTTACTTATACATTGAACAACATTTTATACAACACCACAGGTACAAAGTGTGAAGATGATCAAAACAGAACGAGACACACATTGTAGGCTAACAATTGAATCACGAAGAGTTTGATCCTGTAATTTCTAAAATACCAATTATTATTAAACACTGAATGTAAACTAATCGATTACATTTACAAAGATACAAACTTACTAATCAGGCATGTTTCGTATAAATTATGATCAGAGAAGATAGTATTATAATATTATTGTCATTATGTAAGTACTCACTTTAACATCTGAAACTTCTTTAGTGATCTTTAGGACAGCTGTTCTTTGTGTGTAACAATTCATTTCTTATTAATATTATTAGTACGAATATTGGTAGCATTATTTATTTTTATTTTCAAGCTAACTACAAAAACATTTAGGAGGGGAGTCAATCAGAAAAGGACACCTGTGAAAAACTTATCTGCCCCTGTACAAACAGCATTACACTGTGCGGAAAAAGGACAAAGGAACAAACAATTTCAGAAAAGGAAAGAAAAATGGTCACACAGATTTTAATTGAGGTTAACATCTCTTTTCAGTATTAGAAACCAGATGACTTGCATTGCCTCATATCATCTCAAAAGGCAAAATGACTCTTCAATTTGGAACCAAGGTTAAAAAAGTTCATTTAGAAATAAATCAAAGAAATTGCTAAAAACACTAGTCACCATCTGAGCAAATCAGGTAACTCATAAAATGTTGGAAGGTTGTCAAACATTTTTTCCTGGTATTCAACATAGAAATTTAAAAACAAATTGACACACCAGATATAGAGCAATTTTCATAAGAATGGGACACTTTGACTTTTGACAGCTAGTGCTGGCAACACAACTGAAGGTTGTGACCTTGAGCCAATTAGGGTCCCCTTCCTCCATTTGTTTGTTTGTAGTTGGCTAACTTGTGACTTAGATGCTTTCTTTAGTGTTTTGTGATGTCGTCATCTGACGAAAACGTAGTGCCCACGAGAAATAATTGAAATTAGGAAGTGCAGTGCTATGTGCTCTTTTTTTTTATTTTTTATAAACATTACATTGAATTTAGTTTTCGTAGGATAAGTATTATGTTTATTTTAAAACCGAGTCTTGAATGTGAGATGCATACTCGTGGTGGTACACATGTTTCCGACACCTGTGTTGAAAGGTGGAGAGCTGTGTTTGAGAGCGTTTTGTGGTTCTGTGCTTTACTTTTTACACATTTTTATATAATTGTGACACGGTTGTGAACCATGAAAAGCCAGAGTGGGCGCAAAAGGCATCCTCCATGTTCACGATTAAGGAATGCATTAACATGCATAACATTAGTGACATATAAAACCGTTAAGTCACATTTGAGTTATGAGAGCATAGTACTAAATATTGAAAGTCGGGGTGTTATAAATGTAAATAAATCATCCTCTTCACTACAAAAATGCACGAGTCATTCGCAGTGAAATGATCAGAAAAGGTATTTAAACGTATCCTGAAAATTCATTTTTCTGTCTATTTACATTCGTGGCAGTTTTCTTCTACTGAATATGAAAGCATGTTCAGTTTTCCACATACGTAATTAAATTTCAATACTTCAAGATTTCTGTATAGTGATGTCTTCACGGGCACCATAAACATTATAAAGCATGTCTGAACAGCTGCCGCGGCGGAGGAATACTTCTCTGAATTACATGTGATGTTCACTTGTTTAGCAAACTGACACTATGGCTCATTCTTATAAAAATCACTCTATAGCTGAGGACTTTTTACTATCCAAATAATACACATTTACAATCACCCCTTGAAAATAGGAACAAAAAGGCGCACCTTGCCTCACAATGCACAATAAGGTACCTACTTCTTTCTACTTTCTAGACCTTCACCTCTCTCAATTGATGTAGTTCTCATATGTTATACCAAGATTATTCCTCTATAAACAGAATATTCAATCGAGTTCCTTAATTTGAAGTTTTTTACATTCCATTTAAGGCACACAGATTTACTTCCCATATATTATACTCCCTATGAAGTACTTCCCTCGATGTGGAACGACTTACCATAGTTGGCAGAGCAGTATGAAGGCTCATAAGAGGTGGAGGCATGTTTTGTTGCTGGGGAGGCCCCAACTTGAATTTACTTGACCGTCCCAATGCCAGTTGATCCATGTGTTGCTGCTGTTGCACCAGTTCTTCTATTTTCTGCAGAGCCACTAAAATATCACATGTTATCAGCACATTAGAGGTTTTATTTCAAAAATTTTCTTCACAATACAGACATGACATTTCTCATCATGCTGTAAATTACAATAATTATTCCCATACCATAAAATTTAAGTCAGATTTGAAAAGGAAATTTGCAAACTCAAAACTTTCATGAAACACAAAGAAATCACTACTGTACAACAAGAACTAATTGTATTCATTACAATAAGATACAATGACAATATTGTTGTTCTAAATTACCAAAATGCAATAAAATACAAATAAATATTAAAAATGTAGGGGTATCTAACAATCATGTTCATTATCTTAAATAATGTTTTAAACAAAAATAATTTAATAAACGGGCTTGAGGAAAATGTTTATTACAATTCCAGTGTTTGCTCCTACACTACTGTCATAGGAAAAATAGACATACTCTTTTCCAAGCTTTATTACTATTATTAACATCACCACCATTAACTATTAAGGGTTAGGTAAGCATACCTGTTCCTTTCAAATTCAGTATTACTTTAGTTACAAAAGTGCACCTTGCCCTTTTAGTTTTGGTCTTTAGCATTCTCGCCAACCTTTGAGTTTGCATGAGAATCTCTCTTTCACACAGGTTTGTATTCATTCTCTTGATGTGTTTCTGCAATCTTCTTTGTTAATATACTTCCTCTACTATAACCTTTGCTTTCAGTCTCTTCCTTGTATCCTGATTTTTAACTATGCCTCTGCTGATAATATTTAAAATTAATCTGAAGTATCTTTCTCCAGCAGCTTATAAGTTTGTTAGTCTTTTTTCTCCAGCACCGATGCTTCCCCGCCAATTAGATAGGTTTTGAAACTGTACTGTGTAACCTAAAATTTGTTTCAGACATATTTTGATTGCCTTTTGACACATCCATTAATATTGTTGCATCTAGCGATTTACATTTCAAAATCTTCATTTTCTAAAGTTGTATTCTTTTTTAAAAAATTAGAAAAAAGTATTTTTTGACATCTCTAACATTATTATTTACATTATGCAAGGTTCTTTTTATATTATAGAATTTGTTCACACAAGTGCTTTAAATGATCTTTGATAAAGTTTCTCACAATTTCAAAAGTTTTCCATGAAAATGAGCTCAAAATTACATATTTTTGGAAATGGTCAAATGGAGTTTTCTTTAAAATGGCTCCAAATAGGCATGGAAAGATCGGCCAGCAAACTGCACAAACACGTTAGAGCCAATGGATTAAGGAATAATCCCTGCTTTTAAGATCTACTACAGAAAAAATGTTGTGCAGAGATTATTAAGTTGGATGGAGTAAGGGAAGGACACTGACTTTCAAAATATGCATCCTCAATGCACTGCATTATATTAAAAAGGCATGGAAGGACGTGAGTGAATTCATCATGTGCAACAGTTTCAGAAAAGCTTGCTTTTTCCAAACCCATGAGGAAGAAGTGAAGAAGAAGAAGAAGACGGTGATTTTATTTCTGCATGGAAGAAATTGAAAATAGATTATGAAGTTAACAACTTCCTCCATTTTGACGATGAACTTGCGATTGTGCAGTGTCGGTAGAAAGTTTGATCAATTCAGTTCAAGAAGAAAGTGACAGTGATAGTAGTGGTGGTGATGACAATAATGGTGATAGTAGTGTGCCTAATTGTACAGAAGTAGTTTCTGCAATAAACACCATAAAAAAATATATTTCTGCAGCAGATGGTGTCGTCGTGTGTTTTGAACATAGTGTTGCAATTGTGCATTTAACACTAAAGCTTAAACAATATTTCCTTAAAAACATCTCCAAATTTGTGAATGAAAATTTCCATATGGACAAGATTTTACTTTCCCTAAGCAATATTTTGATTCTACCATTATGAAACTGAAAAATTGAAAAAACTTCAAAAAATGCATTTTGAGTGGCAACGGATGGCATCTGACAGGAGGATGAGGAAAGATAGTCAAGATAACTCGAAGGAAATTAGGGAACGTCAGTACGAGAAAGTCTTTGCCATTCTGTGGCACCACTAATTTATTTTTACTCTGCATAAACTGTATTGCTACTTCAGCTGCTGTTTGGTGATTTGTTTCAGTGATGTCCATGTTCCTTCCAATATTTCATTTTTCTCTAGTTTGTTACAATTTATAATTTTATTATTTATTCTTTGTTTTTTAATGTTTGGTTGTTGCAATTTTGTGCCTTTGCAATTTTACATATCAATAGTTTACTTTCAACTTTTCACTCGTTCTATAAATTCTTGAATCTTTCATTCCTTCTTTGATAATTACGGTCTATGATAGACTTAGTACCCCTCCCTTCCTAAGAGTACTTGTGATCCTATGTATCATAACAAAATGTTAGTTAGAAGTAGTTTGTATATCTATATAAAACTGTCAGATTTTTTCCTGACTGCATTTTTCCCCTTGTCGCCACACACTTTGATGGATTGTTTTATTGGCCACTTTGGCATTATGGTCTACTATTATTAGTAAGTCTTCTTTGTTAATTTATTTATTACTAAATTCAATTAACTTATTCTTTTACAATCCAAGAACATTAGTTTTTAGTATGTTTGCACGTACAACACTTACAATCTATTGATTGTTTTGTTGATGCTTGAATGTAGAGATACAGGGGTCTTTCACCAAGATTGCGAGCTCTCTCTTCCGGCGTTAGATATCTGCCCCTTGTAGAAACAGCAGCTCCTGTCAATAAGCGAAAAATTGTACGTGCATGACTCATAGAACAAGAGTTCCACAGTCTTTAATGCTTGAAACACATGAGGGTATAAAAATTTCAGAATTTTAATTTTTTTAAACTTGCAAAGAAATTTACTTGTAAAACAATAAATCATTTTTTTAAAGTTACAGCAAATCCGTTTTTTCAACCTACAACACAATTTATAATGAATCATTCACCTGAGAACTGGTTAATCTCTTCCTGAGTGTGACCTTTAGTGAGCAAATTGCGAGCAGCAATAGGAGCGTCGTTTATTTCGTACTCAGAAGTAAATAAGTCTGCAGATGTCCGAAAACTGTTACCAACCTATAACAAACAATACATATGTGTATACATCATACACCCCCTAGGAGAAATTTTCCAAATGATAGTACTATGTCCTATGGCATATTCAAATTAATGATACACTTTGTTTAATTAGCTGGGCAAATTCTCCTGGAGTGACTTTTACCAATTACTCACCATGAAAAGACAACACTAGCCTTGATCTTATTGCAGGCTAACCTAGTTAATTCAAACCTTGACAGTTTGAAAACCTCTACAATTCGAAATAATGTTCTTTTCCCTTGAGTAAACCTGTGTAAGTTGAGAAAAAGTATGACATTAATTTGAAGTTTTTGAAGGACAGTCTCACTTCTAATTTAAAAAATAAAATTACATCTATTATCTTCATAAATCAAAAAATGGTTTCAAAAAGCTTCATCAGAATTATAACTCAATGCAATTGAACGAAGTGAGCAATGGAGACAGAGGTTGGTTTGAGGTTTGTTTGGCATAGCTTAAATTTGACCAATAAGGGTCACAAATAAACAAAACCCACAAAATAGGTAGTACTTCTGGTATTTTGAATAATAACTTATAATAACTTCATTAATATAACAGTAATACCTTTGCAATCTTTGCAAATTTGCATCTTCCTTTCTGCCTTAAATTTCAAATTATAAAAGTTTGACTATATATGGTTAAACTTTTCATAACACCTTTCAATTCCCATAAAACAGCTCTTTAAATATTTCTTTTTAAACAGTGATTTTTGATAAACATCGGCTTTATTTTATGTTAGGTACATAATCACGACTTTTAACTACTCCATTTTAATTTTTTTGCATATAATATGAGCAAGTTTTTTGCGCCTTTTTTTTGAATTATATTAAAAAAAGGCGTTAAACATTTGCACAACGTTCTTCATAAACAATATGCCACAATGTTAAATTTAGCATTTTGAAATATTATTTACTCAGAGAAGTGTTCAAATTTTTGGCATAATAATGACAATACACAGCATTAATCTACTGCTTAAAGCCAAATGTTTATACAAATACTACAATATTATTTACTGTGCTCCTCTCTGAGGAAAACATAAGCAATTGTGTTGCGGACCAAAACAGACAGATTTGCATAAAAAAATTAATTTGAAAAGTTTTCAAATTAATTCTACTCAACACGATATACAACAATATTAATGAAAATAAAGAGAAGTACATTGTCCATTGCACATACACCAATTCATTTGCAAATGAATTTACGTAAATTTTCTATGAAATCATATATTGTCAGAAAGGCACTTCTCCAATAACTTCCTGGAAAGCATTTGGTGTGAATGAAAATAAAGAAGATGGATTTGTTCATGTAATCTATATTATCACTATCAGGTGTCAATACATGATTAGGTTGATGATAGAAGAATTGTCACTGTATTCAGCTAGAAGCATCACATTTGTGCACATCATGAATGTAATAAATACATTTTATTATTGTACATTTTGATATTTTAGGATTATTTTCCCAGCTAGATTTCTTCTCACATTAATTGCAAGAACGACACAATTATAATAGCTATCATTCATTCATTATTATGTTAGTATTCAGTATAAAATCTACACATCCCATTAAGAGTCCAGTGACAAGATCATAAAATACCTTGATTATTTGTGGTGATGGCTGCTTCAGTTTCCCTTTTGCTATAAGCACAGCATTGACTTTGGCTGCAGCCTCACAAGCAGCTTCCAAACTACTTCTGCTGTTCATATCCCTAAAAATGAATGTACAATACCATGATTCTGATACATCTCATTTAAAAGAATGAAGATTCAGGACAAACAAATTTTGAAAAAGAGAAACACACCACACACAACAGCAAAACCATGCAAGAGCATACAATAAAAACAACTTATTGTAATTTTAAGCAACTTAACTATACTTCATATAAGTATGCATAAATTTACAGGAATACTAATCATTCGACCATTAGTAAATTGGATATGAAACCAATGTTTTACAATTCAAGAAAATACTCAAATATACTACACATTCTACTAGCTTTAAATATCTACCTCTACTTTAAACAGGTCACAGATCTCTTCATTTCCATAAGCTGTCATAAACATGAACATGCTAAACTGAAGATAGCTTTTTAAAATGTTTTAAAACAAACAAAATACATTTTACCGTCCACAAAACACTAAACGTATATGTGCAAAAGGGCGGACATAAATAAAACGTAAAGTTTGAAGCATTAGTTCAAGCTTTCACTACCCTGAACATAAACACAAAACATTCCAAAGCAATTAGATAACGAGTGTTATTCAACACTTAATTACGATAACTGAAGCGCACGTCAAACTAAGCATCAAGAAAGTTGTAATTGTCTTGAGATTCTAATGTCTTTATGTATTTATATGGCATTCCGCAGAACCGGCTATTTCCCAGCATTACATTTCGAGGGCTAATTTGCTGCCCGAACAAAAACTCAAGCAGCGGGCAACTATGGATCGCATAACACAATTGAAAGTCGGGAATTAAAATGCAACAATTTTTGTACCCAATTTACTCGTTTCATAGAGAAGTCAACTTAACACTATCAGAAATACAGTGGGCATACAGTTCTCATCACGGTTGCCTACCTGAAGGAAATAAAAGAAAAAACAACCAACCAGAAGTCATGCTCAGAGTGCACGGTGGAAAAAAATATGTATAAATGCATAAATGTGAATTATTTCATACGTCATTAATTTACTAAAATGTAAAACGAACTAGTTGTGCTCCAGTGGCACAGATTTTCTCGTAGTAAAAATTTCTAAGTTCCTTGGTAAAGGCTAGCCAAAGGCCGTGGCATTGTTGTTACTTATACAATAGTTATAATGAATATTTTAATGTGTTATAATATTTATTTTATTGTACGTTTATGGACCGTGATAAAAGAGACTGAGTTTTTATAACAATTCATTTCATGTTTTATATTTCACGTTTCGACCCTATTTGGTGTCTTTAAAAATTATAACAGTGCCCAGGTTAGTTGACATCATAAACAAAATATAAGCATTTTGATAAAAAAAAAAATTGTCATTCACATAAAAAATGATCAAGTCGTCAGCTCCATCTGGTCAACTGGTCCAGGATCAGTGAATGATAATCTTTTATCAAAATGCTAATTCTTTATTTATGATGTCAACTAACCTGGACACTGGGTTGTTTTTTGGAAAAAGATCCCAAATAGGGTCGAAACGTTAAATATATAAGATGAAATAAATTGTTATAAAAAACTTAGAGACTGTTTTATTATGGTCAAGAAACGTACTATAATATTACATAATAGTTGGCTATGGCCGTGGGCTAGCTCAAGACCATCTCTATAGATCGGAACGGCCTTGGCTAACTTTACGGTCTTGCCCCTTGCCCTTGCCATCTATCGCCGGTTAAAGTATATTTTTGAAGTTTTCTTAATTTTTCTGTTTCATATTGGTAGATTCGAAATATTACTTCGAAAATATTAAAGATGAAGAAAACCTCATCGAATGTGGAAATTTTCGTTGGAAATTTAGAGCAATTTTTACGAAAATGGCATTTAATCGTCACTGAAAATGCGAAATTTGGTCTTTTTCACTGGAATCTTTTATATTTTCGAAAACTTCATTGGAAGTCTTTTAAAGCACTTTCACTCACAGATGCAATAATGTATAGAAATCGCTGGAAATGTGCATATTAAAGGCGAGAGAGATATTTCAAAAACATATTTGCGTAATTTGTGGAAAAATCAAAAGAATACAGCAAATACTTTTACGTCATCTTAAACATTGCAATTAGCACTAAGCGTAGTATCCAACAATTTGAAGAACAAAATTGGAGCCTTTTTTCCGAAAATGGCGTTTGAGTGTTTTTGAAAATGCTGAATATTACGTTCGTTTTCTCAGAAAACTATTGAGTTTTCGAAAAAATGTATATGACTTAATTTAAAACACTTAAATCTACTGCCCGTAAATATAATAATCGCGAACAAATGACCGCTGGTGTAAATATTAACAACAGGAAAGATAAGTAAAAAATACATTTTTTGTAATTTTTGAGAAAACAAAAGAATAAGCAAACTGGCGTTTATATTATCTTATAGAGTTCATTTTGCACTATCCATACCAAAAATTTAAAGAAAAAAGTTGGAGCCATTTTTGAGAAAATTGATTTTCATATTTTTTTATAATTGCACATATGGCAAGAAATATTGTGCGAAAACTCAAAAATTTTAAAACAGTGTTCATAACCTTAATGAAAGAACTAACTATGGAGAAAAAAATTACTTGAAGGGAAAATATCTTAAATTTTCTTATCTATATACATAAAACAAAGTCAGGTTAGTTTCACTATTTATAATTCTGGAACGACTGGGCCAATTTTAATAATCTCTGATTTGTTGGGTTCATCACCACCCCAAATAGCAGAATAAGTATTAAAATATGTGCAGCATTACATAACTTTCTCTATACTACGTAAATTACTCCGTATATGAGAAAGTAAAAACAACTTTTTCAGTATCAAGGCAAAATTGTTTCTGAAATCTGACTACATAACGTATTAGAGGGTATAATTTACTACATTTTTGAAAAAGATGTATCCACATTTCTGTATCAGGGCCACACAATGCGAGTTTTCTGTCGAAAAATCACCTTTTTGCTGCAGCATTACATTACTTACTCTCCACTGCGTATATTACTCCGTCATTGAACTGAACGGACGAGTGTGCGGGTCGGTACATGTTCTAATGTTTTGAATATACTCCCTGTATGTAGCTGTCAATGCGTTTACAAATGTTGGGATGTCGGCAGTATACAGTGACTAAAACAAAGGTCCAAACACACTTCCTTCAGGCACTCCTGCATTTATAGGGATAAGTTCGGAAGTTTCTTCGTTAAATTTCATTTGAAAATATTTCTCTGAGGTACGATTTTAATATTTGATTGAAAGGGAAAAATAACTCCGTCTGTGTCTGCAGCTGATGCTGGGCTGTTCGTCGCACCCGTGGCCATGTGGTGGTGGGTGGGGCGAGCACTGCCGGTTCCAAGCTCGCATAAAGGAGGGTCAGTGCCATTGCTTCCACTTACTTTTGCCATACTTCCATTAACTTTCCTATTTGGTCTTTCTCTTGATCTCTAGTGTTCTTCGGCCCCGATGCTATTAGGTTGAGAGGGCTAGGTAGTCGTTAAATTAGCTACTTCTACTTTTCATGTACTTGATCTCTTTTTCTTCAAATCTCTTTTCATTCTATTTCTTATGGAGGTAGGGTGGATAGTACTCTATAGGAGGCAGCGGAGCCAACCTTTCGAGAGGAAAGGAAGCCCAAAAAGAAAATCTCTGGTCCAGGTTGGGGGTTGGGGCGGCGGGTCTGCACTCCATCACCCTTAAAAAAGAAACAAACTACACAACCTCCCGACAACGCCTCGGAGCAGGATGGATCATCAAGACCAAAACACGCGCGAAACGGACTTTGAAAATCGGTGCATGGAACGGTCAGGGAATTGCCACTAAAACTGAGGAGGTATTTAGAGAAATCAGAAACTAAAAAGAAGGGAAGCGGTACGGGAGAAAGGAATGAGTACATTCCCATTTATAGTGGGATGCCTAAGGAAGAGAGAGCTCGAAGTGGGGCTTATATAGCTATCAAAAACAAATATAAAAAGAATATCACCAGCTGGGAACAAATAAGGGATATAATTTAAAGGTGCAAATGAAGCTTAAAAGTCATGTGATTACTATTATGGTTCGGAATTTAAGATCTAAAATTGATACAACTCGGAAAATAAGATCTATAATTGATTATATTATATTAAGGCAAAACCCAAAACTCGGGTTAAAAGATGTAAGAGCATTGAGAGGGCCTGAGTGTGGATCAGATCATCATTTACTCGTGTCCAGAATTTTATTTCCTTTTAAAAGTACAAAAGATACTTACAAAATTGAAAGTGGTAATAATATTTTAAAAATAAATTATAATTTTAAAAAACTTCAAGACGACTCTACCTTTTTTCTTTATAAAAAGAGATTAGTCTCAAAACAGTGTGACGTTACAGATGATTCCGCTAATAAAATGTTTGAGGCGGTTAAGAAGAAGATACACGAATAATCTTTTGAGGCATTAGGGGAAAGAGAACAACAATATATATGCAATTGGAGAAAAGAAATGTGGTGGAACGGAGCTGTAAAGGAGTTAGTATATAAGAAAATGCAATATAATAAGTGGCTTGCTACAAAATCTGACGAAGACCTTATAGAGACAAGAGGAAAGAATCGCAAACAGTAGTTACTGAAACAAAATGAGGTATGGCAAAATATAGGGGAGGATATAAAGAAATGGTTTGGGAACACTAGAGCAAATAAAGTCTGGGGTATACTGGAGTCAATGAGAAAACAAAATAATGACTTTGCAGGAATTAGTCCAATAAGGATGGAGGAGTGGAGGGAATACTATAAAGCACCGCTTTCAGAAGATTAACCCAATTTTTTGCCGGACATGGAAAATGTAAAGAGTATAAATGAACATTTACACATCCTACTGGTAACGACTCAAGACGTAATCTGAGCTGTAAAATTAAGTAAGAACGGTCGAGCACCTGGTCTTGGTAATATATATATATATATATATATATATATATATATATATATATATATATATACTGTTATTAGGTAAGCTTTACGGCCGTATTTTGAAATAAAGAATAGAGTGCGAAGTGAAGGATTCAGAAGAGCAAAATGGATATAGACTAAGGCGCTCATGTATAGACGGGATATTTACATTACGAAACCTGATTGAAAAAAAGAGTTTGTAGAGATTTAATAACTCATCTAGCGTTTATAGACCTACACAAGGCTTACGACACTGTTCCACAAAGCAAGTGGACCAATTTATATAAGAATGGAGTATCGATAACTTATTTTAGTGCGGAAAAAGAATTTTGCTGCAATTTTATGAGCATGGTCAAAATAGGCAATAAAGATTCCTCAGAATTACTGGTTACGAAGGGCTTTCGACAGGAATGTACTGTGGCACTGACACCTTTTAAGATCTTTTTAAAGGAAGCCCTTGGAGAATGAAAGAGGAAATGTAGTGGTATGAGCATTCCAGTCAGTGGTGAAATTATGTATACCCTACCATTTGCCATCGTTGCCGGGGATATGGATGCCTTTGAGTTATATTCTCCGTAAGTTGGAAGAGAAATATGAGAAATTGGACTTAAAGATTAATATGTCTTCAACTGAGTATCTGCAAGTGAGAGGTGACGAGCTGAAAGATATAGATAGACGCTCATGCGCTCCCCCTTCACACACACGCAAAGAGCGCGCGACCGCTCTGTGCAACACGCGTGCATGGTGATTCGCGTGGTCAAAAGGTTGTTTATAAAAAGGGTGGTAAAAAAGAAAACCTTGACGAGCCTTAAATGATTTATTGCGAATTTGAGTCAATTAATTTATTCCGAATTTAACTTCTTGAGCTGGCTTGACGGGTTAAGCCAGCTCACACCCGTTTTCGCCACGAAGATAGTGGCAATTAATTAGCAATAAATTATCTGAGGGTTTCCGTCGAGCTTCAACCCGGATTTAATTTATGTGTGTGCTGGCGTCGCGTCTAGCCGGCGC